CCTGAAATTTTTCAATGGAGTAATTTTAATCTGTAACACTAGGATTATTAGGAAGGAGTAAGAATGGAAACTTTTGGAGCCAGGGATGAGATTCCAGGTATGTCAAATAGTATAATACGTGAGCTCAGGAGCTAAACTGTGAAGGAAACAGGGATAAAAGAAAAGGTTTGATGATTCCCAACTCCGAAGGCTGTCTCTTGTATCTTTTGAGACTCTTGCAACAGTAAAATGGGAGTCAGCACTGTAAAAATGTCCCCTTGTGTTAGACTTCTGATTAGATTTTTGGATGAGAACAGAAGGTTGGTATAAGACCAGATCTGAGCCCCTAAATGTATCATCAAAAGCACAAAAAGTGAACTTAAGGTCCAAAAACTGCTAGAGTATTTGAATGTTAAATAAACTCTTACAGTAATGTCATTAATGATCTTACCTTTTTTCATGTTTCTTGAGAACTTATATATACTCCAAAATAAAAAACACAGAAGCAAAAAGAGTCATAAAATAGCTTGGGTTGGAAGGGACATCACAAGGATCATCAGACTCTAACCCTCCAGTTGCAGGCAGAGCCACCAACCTCTACAGATCTAATACTAGAACAGGTTGCCTAATCTGCAGTTATTTGAATTGGTAAACTAGTTGTCTTCTCTAACATGTTACTTAACTTCCCATTACGCAATAACCAAAGATGGCCATTGCAGAGTGACTCCCTTGGAATCTAAATTGGATGTTGAAAAAGTGCATGGGTCTGTCATTTAAGTAGCACTGATTCTCCCAAGTGTCCCACTTTTGTTTCCTGTAGTAAGTAGCACCACTGTTATAGTTCTGATGCCTGTTATCTTAATTGAAAATTCTTAGTTACATACCTTTTGCAAGGATATTAAGTTGAGTTCAAGATATTTTTCATCTGATACTTAGAGGAGGAAGCACTTTTTTCTGTTTTACTGTTTGTGGAAATACAGGTAAAAATAAGTAAGCAGGCAAAATGATTTTGATTTCCAGCTTCTCATGGATGTCTTTGTACAGATCTCAGTCATGTGGTAGTCAGAACCATTTCTGTGGTGAAGCGTGTTTTGGAACCTGAAGAGAAATTGTTAAAGGAACCGGTGAGAACATCTGTCTCTGTCGTATGAGAGGACAACTCAACTAGTCATCAAAGTCAGATGCTGGTGGGACTGCAATAATAACAAATAATAATATAACTATAATTTAGTTATGTCCGAATGTGTACAGGATATGTTAAAATGTGTTTAGTATATGTAATGAATTAGTGATAAGCTTAAGCCCAAAATAGCTATGAAAATTAAGGCAAGGGGTTTCTCTTTTCATCTTAAAGGTGACATCAGTTTGCATGAGTCTCAATTACAGCAAATATTATGAGAATATTGTACAATGAGAATTTTGAGTCACAATTCAAAATCCTTCTGAATGCAGAGGAGGAGAAATACATATCTCTTTACATTTTAATTATGCTGAGGAATTAAGTGGAAAATATTAGAAAGCAAAGTTAATATCCTTTTTTATTATTTTTTTTTTAATAGGTAGAAAACTTAAGCTAATTTTCTGGATACTGATGATGTTTCTAGTTCATCTGGTTTGCATTGCAGATCTCATTTTGGGGGCTTTATTTGCATTCATTGCTCATTTTCCATGGGAGATTTGCAGATGCTGGGCGGCACATTCTTGCTGTCATTGCTGACTCTCCTGGCATGTATGGATTGTTGATGATCTCTGTGTCTTGCAGGGTTGAAAGCTACAGAGTTCCAGTGGGTTGCGAAGCTCCAGTAAGGCGGTTCACTAAAATACAGTGCCAGGACTTTTCTGTGCTTTTTTTTTTAAAGCAACAGTCAAGTGATAAGCATCTCTTAATATTCCATGGTCAAGGGTTTTTTTGTCTGCTATAAAAGAGTTTTCATGGTGTCTTTAGCACTTCCACAAACACAGGGCATGGTTACTTGATATTTATTAGAATCGTGGTGGTGATATGGGCCTGGCTTTCAGGGACTTGGGAACAAGCCATATTCTAAACTGGTACTAAGTGTAAGCTGTTCTCTTTCTGAACACTTATGTTGCTCTGCATGCCTTTGTGAGATGATAGTTGTGAGCTAGTCTCAGCGGGTAAAGATTGTACCGTGTATTTAACACATCTGACTGCTACTCCACTTATCTGTAGTGATGATGTGAATGTGATGCCACACTGTCTGCTTTGTATCGTTCACTGCTTCTCAGAGCATGGCCTTCCTTCTCTCCAAGACAAATCTATACAAAGAAACGCAGGAAGGCACTCTGCTGTAACCAAGTTTTTATTAATGCTTTGCTTGAAATGGTGTCAAAAGGCTGTGGTGAGCCATGTGCTTACAATGAGCCTTATAAGGTTTTTTTGTTTCTACTCCTCATACGTGGCCGATTTGTTAAGTTGCAGCTATTTGTAGACATCATTTCATGCTGCATTACCTCTCACAAAGATGCAAGGGTTTTTGCTCAGGCAGGTGAGAGAAACATGAATTACAAGGAGTTCAATTGGTATCATTTGCTGTGACCCTTTCTCTGGCTATTGTTTTGTCTACTGGGACTTACAGATGTGTCTATGCATCTGCCACTGATCTGTTGTCTCTCAAGTTATCTAGTGAGCATTTTAAAGGCTTCATGGTTCCCAAGCAGAACTGGATGAAATGGCTGCTGCTGTCAGTGCTGAATGTGTGTGGGTGCCTGTGCTGGGAGGGGGTGACAGCTGCATCCCTGTTTCATAGCCTGGTGGAAGTGAACCTTGTAATGATTGGGAGTGGGATGTTATAGTCATGGAAATCTTACACACACATAGGATATAAAAAGTACCGCTCAAATCATGTTCGTCCCAGGATGCTGAGGTAATGTTTTTTCCCCCACATGCAGCAGTGAGATCTGAAGAGCAGTACTCAGCAAAAAGAAAGGGGAAAACCAAGGAGGTGTGGTGAAACCAGTTGGTGAATTGAAGAGTAATTTGCAATGAAAATATTTATGTGAATCATATGGTGTCAAACAGGTGGGCTGTAAGGAAGTTCGGGAAGATTGAGCTCATTCTCTGAATACAGTTAATCAAATCTCCTGCCAACAGAAGAAACATTAGCACAGTGAGAGAGTAACTCAGAGAAAGGGATTTAATTACAGAGTATTTGCTAAATGTCAAATCACATGTAGAAAAATCTGTGCAGCTTATGAGGTAGTTATGCATGCTATTTTTGTGCCTAGAACGCAGCAAGCCCGATTCTAAAATGCAGTTCCTGCAGATTCTGCTGCATCAGCCAGGTGCATTATCTATCTCTGCCTCTCAAAAAGATTTCCATATAACAAAGGGATGGTGGAGAAATTTTTGAAAGTTTGAAGCAATGTGATTGTTCAAGGGCTGCTCCAAAAGTACTGCCTCCTATTTCATTATTTTGGCCCCTAATGTCAGAGGCACATGTTGGTGATATGGCAGTAGAGGTTGGATCTTCCTACCAATGTTCCATTATGTTGTGTTGTGTGTGACAGATGGCAGCAAAGGGACAGTCTGACCAAATGGCGTCTGACATGGAAGAATTCAATGATACCTTTGCTTCATAGGTACTTCCATTTGGAGGAAAATGGCACCCATTGACATTCATCAACACTTGCTGAATGTTTACAGAGACCAAACAGTGGATGTAAACATAGTGCGGTGGTGGGTTCCAGCAATGGTAACAAACAGTGTGTCACCTCTAGTGGTGCGGATTTTAGTCTTATTCTTTACTGGTGAAAGAATGTTGAATGAATGTTGAAGAATAATGTTTTGTAGCTGAGTTTGCTCTATCAAGGAGTGTTACTGTGTTCTTTGTATCTGTTGTAATTTCCATGAAAATAAATAGGAGGCGTTACTTTAGGAGCATCCTGAGTACCTTGGGCACAGTATTGCAGCTATGTGCCCTGTACGAAGTGCCTGAAGAGACTGTCATGTGAATGCAGGTCTGAGGTAGGCTTTTGTGTCCTGGGGTGACAATGAAGGGAGACTCTAAAGAATGCATATCCTCCAGCGTGCTTTTTCCCTGCAATTAACAGCCAGATTCAGCAAGGACACACTGACACCATGGTTTCTGTTTCTTCTTCCCTACTATGTCCCTGTGTGAAACAGAGGTTTGTGATGGTAACATAGTACTGGGTACAGAACTGTGGAAAATGAAGCCTCTGGTTTGACAGGATGGGCTGCTATGCCTTTGAAAGTGATTCTTTTAGGGCCTTGACCTGAGACCTCTCTCTACAGCTGTGTCTTTCTTTAAGAACCGTCCTCAAGCTTTCATTCCCCCATGCTATTTCACGGCAGATCTAGGCAAGGCAAGCCAGCTAGCTCTTTTTAACCTCTGCTTTTCCTGTCAGTTTCTCCCTGAGCAGTAAACAGCCTCAGGCTGTCATCCCCACTTGCATGGCAGAGGTCAGGTGGAGATGGCATTTCAGCAGCCAAATCCTATGGAACAGTGGCCAACTCTCAGAAGAAACTATATCTTTCTAGTGGAAAGTATGGAAACCGCTGTAAGACATGGGAACAGTGATGTTGTCCAAAGGTTGAGATACTCTCATCAGACGGCACTGTTTCCCAGACACTCTGGTAGATCATAGTATAAAAACGAGTTCCAGAATCACACACAGCTTTTTGTTTTTTTTCCCCAAAGATATCCAGCAGAATAGGCATGCACTCATTCAAAAGGTTCTCGGTGGGATGACTTCTGCTCCCCACTCTGGTATGTGCACTAGCCTGGAATGAGGATTGGATTGCCCACTCCTGCTGATACATGGCAGTGGGAGATTTTGCTGTGGATGGCTCACAATGATTCTGAGTGTACTAGTCCATCAGCAATTCCATTGAAAGAGTGTGAAAGGGTGAGGGGAGAAGGGTATTATAGGTAATGCTTAAATTCTGAAATGTAATGTGCTGTCCTTTGTAGGTCCCGAAGGGTTGTGGTTTGAGCAGGGAACAATAATGGCTAGTTCTCATGTGCTGTAGTCACACCTCAGCTCCATCGGGTGTCAGCAGCGAGCACGTATCTGTATAACAACCCAGCTCCAGTTAAAGTAAGCAAAGAGGTAGGGAGGAAATGTCAGTGCTTCCAACTTGTTTACCTCTCCTAAGTAGGTCACACAGTTCTCACTTTCGTGAGAGGGCCAACTGGGACCAATTGAGTGCTTCTTGTGCCATGGGCTGGAATGAGAGGTACATGATCAGAATGTACACAGGAATGTTCAGCGGTGTGAACCTTCAAGTAGCAGAGTTGCATGAGATGGAATTATCTCTTTAAAACAAAACAAAGCACTGCTATTTATAACTCCACTGATAAATGACTTAAAAAAAACTAAAAACCTAAAGCCTTGTGGTTCTTTAATGCTTGAAATCCAACTATACTATTGAATTTAACTTCTGGATAAAACATCCCTTTGTCTAAGGTGATGTGATATTGGTAACAGGCTTTTCTTTTGTTCTAAACTTCACTTCTGTTTAAATCGACTCTTCCAAACAATAGAAACAATATGGCTTGAATGTTTTTGAATGGTTAGCATGATTATTATCTGTTTAATCAGTGTCTTGTTAAAGGGAATGGCTCACTCTGATCTTGGTGTCTTTACCTCCTGACTACTTTTGAAGAGGTTAAACAGATGTTTAAACGATGATTTGTAGAACACAATTACACTTACGTCTTTTTGAGCAATCTGTGATTTTTAACTGATGTTTTTATTGAAGCCATCAATATTTGTGTATATAAACACTGTAAAACATACAGAAGTAGTTTTTTAATACAGCCAAGTTGTAAATATAATCCACAACAGGGCAAGATTGTTATCGTGATCTACCTTATTAGTAGGACAGCTCGTACCTGCTTTCACACTAGACCTATGTTTCGACTTACATCTTAATCTTCCTTTTTCAGAGGGAGAAAACAAGCTACCTCGCATCTGTATTTGGTGCAGTGTGTGTACTGCACTATGTTAACACACTGCATCAGGAAGGAATTTCAAATGCTCTCAGGGAATTTACTAACAAAAGTCCTGCTGGATTTGCTTACATGCATTTGTGAGGGAAAACACTAATCTTGTTTAATAAACTATTCTCTTTCTGCTGCTGCTCTTGGAGCCTGAACAGCAGGTTAGTGAGCTATCTGATCTCTTTGTTCTCCTGATAGAGTCGAATATACCTCAAAATGCAGCCCGCAAAAGATACGATGGTAGGGGCCAGCAAAAGGCTGCAACCATAGGCTTCTGGAGACTTGATGTCTTTGTGCCTTGTCCAGGTGGAGCTGCAGAGGGAAGAAGTGTTTATGTGCCCCTTGTAGAGAGCCTCACTAAACCCACTGATTTGGAGAGATGCTTCCTTCTCTTATTTGTTTTCTTTTCTGCATACACCTCTCAGGCATGAAACAAGGAAAGAAGACCTCATTACACGTACAAACCAGATAAAGGACCTCATAATCCGAGACTTGAGGGAGTGAACTTTTCCAAAGGCATTTTGGCAGCTCCAAGGCTCTAAGATGCAATTTATCTCCAGGAAAGAATGGTCACTTTGCTTTGCACATGGGTCGAACAATGAGTAGGGATTCCTTTCCCACACAAGCAAAAAGGCTGCTAAGACTCACTCCATGGTGAAAATGAAATGAGTTTTATCATATTAATCTTTCCAATTCTTTTTATACACAGTTGTTACAGTTAATACCTGACATTATTTACACTACAGACTTCTCTTGCCCCCCCTGTGTTCTTGAGATATTTTTATTTGTCCTGTTGTTCAGTTTCATTGTTATCTGTGGACAGCTGGTGGATGTTTCAGTTTGTTGTCATTCTTGTCTTTGAAGGCACAGCAGTAGCAAAGGGAAAAGATTTCTCTCTTCTAATACAGATAAACTGCTTGATTTTTGGCTTCAAGAAGGATTTTTTTTTTGCTTTGGAGAAACAGACAGCAGGTAAATATACAAGACTGAGAAAGGTGTGCTTGTTAACTTTTGTTTCCCTGGGTACAGCTGAAGTGCATTGTAACACACTGTCAAATTTCTCAATGTTTTCTCTTACAATTGTGCTATAGGATCCTTTCAGATTCTTTGTTTTCTCTGCATTATATCTTGTATGCATAGCTTGAGCCAAATCAATAGAATGCCTACGCATTTATTAGATATTTTGAATCATTTGTCTCTGCCAAATTTGATTATGATCTGCTTCTTGAGAGATATTTATCTGTGACTTCCAGCTGTCATTACTACAAAATAGGCTTCCTCATTTAACCTGAGTGAAAAAAGACTCTTGACTACTCTGAGACAAGGGAATGGCCCAAATTGTACCACCAAAATACACTGTTCAAGTGTGCTTATCTGAAAATGAAACTTGATGACACACTTCAATGTAATACTGAAATTGGCTTGCAGTTCTTCTTATGAAGCTAATTAGAAGTTAGGATGTTTTTTCCCAATCAATTTTTCCAATATGCATGTTCTAGTTGTTCTTAGTCCTGCACACAGTGTGTAAAACTCAAAGTTTGTCTTACGAATTTTTTTTTTTTGAGATGTCTGAAATATTTAGGGATTTTTATATAAGGGACCTACCTTCTATTTAGTCCAAAATTAAAGTCTCTATTCAGTTTTAGCTGTTAAGACTTCATTTCCAATTTTTGTGTGGCTATCAAATTTTACACATTTTTTTAATGCCACATTTCAAACATGAATACCCATAAGTCTCATGAGTATCTATATAATGCTCCTTTCAGTGGCAGAGATTCTCTAGCCTCTTAGAGATGTTACAAGTTTTGGGAAACTGAATTTTATTTCTTTCTTTGAAGGCAGATTGCAGGTTCTTAGCTTTGTTCTGACATAAAGATGCGAAAATTGTTCTGATTTGCCAAGCCCATTTAGTTCAGCACAAACCACTGCAACTCAGTTCTGGATACCCTGATCCAAATTCATTGTTTAAAGATAAAGTTCAGATTAAGACAATAATCTTCCATTGATTGGAGGGGGGGGAACAATGAACAAGCAAATAAAAACAAACAGAATTTGATGTATCAGTTGAAATTCCCTGCAATTACCCTATATTTCTTTCAGTTCAAAATACCTTGTAATTTTTTTCCAGACCTTGGTGTGTGTTCTAGCCTGCGATTAGCAAATCTAATTCAGTAAAAAATGTCAGAGTGCTACACACTTCTAAGCAAATGAAGCAAGCAGGTGCTTAGAGGGGAATTATATATTCAGTATATTGGGTGGACTTGTGTTGCCTGAGTGACCTGCCAACCCAAACACTGATGTTGCTTTCTCAGCTGTTCTGTGGAAGGAAACCTAGCAGCTGCTGTCTTATACTGTAGGCTGCTTGTGGCATGTTCCTTACTTCAGGCATAAGATTCAATATGCTAAACCAACACTATGATTTAAACGTGCTTATTAATTTACCCTCACTAACTAAAAAGCTTAAGTGGAGTGCAACCTTTAAAAATTAAGAGGTTTTCCTTACTCTGATTTAGGACAAAAATAAAGACTGCAGAACCAACATTCAGTTGAAGCAAAGATGAATTACTTTAACCTCAGGAGAAAAATAAAGCACTTCTTAGGAATTCACACAGAGCTCTGACTTTCCTTTTTTGTTATGGACACCAAACATTTAAATATTTTGGATTAAAATTCCGCTGTCTGTTTTGGTTCATCATCTGGCTTGTGTACACATGTTCATCCTGTTTAAGTGCTCTGGCTCAGTGGAATACCAGCAAACAATTTTAAAAAATTTACTTGTAGGGTGCAAACATTTAGACTGTACAGTTGCATGTTTTGAAACTTCAGAACAGCAGCTTGATCTATATAGCCTTCGTATTAAAATGGTTTCTAGATGTTTTAATATAAGAAACCTTTTTCCTTTGGTTATCCGGTGTGGGATGATGTTCATGGAAGCAAGCTTTCACACTTCAGATGGTGACAAAAAGAACAGGCAGCTTAATGCTACCAAACTAGGGGTGTGTCAAATTGCTCTCTCAAGAATGATAAACTCAATGGAGCCGTCTATTTTTAACCTCCAGTTCTTTCCTTTTGGCAGAGTAATCAGTGTTAGCTGAGCTCTTTCACTGAATGACTTCAAGCAACCCTGCTTGTTGCTTTCTGAAATGAAGAGCAGACTTTGTACGAGTGTTTCCAAGTCTGCTTTAATGTATGAAGTTCTGCTTTGAAACACCATGTCAAATGAAGCCAGTTTGGAGCAGAAGCTCTCTACAACAACCCTCAGTTCGGTTGCTGTTCAGGCTGGGAATGCCAGTATTGTTATAGCTGTGTTGAAGGTAAGGCAACAAATGCTGGCACATCTGTTTATAAACTCTCTCCTACTCAGTGGTTGTTGCTTCTATAAAATATTTTGCACTAATGAATAGTTAGCATATAATGATAAGGCAGGGTAATTTAGTTAATATCTAATGGAGATTCTTCCCTTTGTTTCTGTTCACAGTTTTTGTTTTTTTATTAGAGGCAAAGAATTCCTCTACTTAAAGAGTCGCAGACAATTGCAGAGTGCCATGTAAATGTATTAAAAAGCATGAATGTTATCTTTGGAGGAGACTCAAATGCAAGTAGAATTATTTTTAAGGTTGCTTGTTATGTAAGATTATTGCTACCAACCCCACAAATGCAGATTGTGTATGCCTATTTAGGATAATTTTCTTGAAATTAATGCCTAAAACTGATAATGAATGGCTATTTTTGAAAACTGTGAATTCATATTACCGTGTGTTCTCTTAGAAGTTCGTGTGTGTGTGTGTGTGTGTGTGTGTGTGTGTGTGTGTGTGTGTGTG